GGTTTAGCAGTTTAGGGGTTTAGGGCTTAGCCATTCACCCCAGCATCCACAGCTCTCCTTTTCCTTATGGCTGTTCGGGGACTCCACAGACAAAGATGTGAAGCGCATCTAGTAACTAGCATGATCTAGCGAGTCATATTGTTGTGTAACAGTATATTCAAGACTAGAATCTTTTCCTGAACCCAGTTTTAGGGTTCTAGGTTCAGGGCTTTGGGTTCGAACTGTGCAGGGTCTCATCACGGCTACACAGGCTTAACAGTCTCGCCATCGCTGTCGGCAGGATTGGCATGTGCTCAACATGATTGCAAAACCCTCGTAACATTCATACTCTAAGGCCGAGACCACCCTAAGCCCTAAAGCTTGGACCCTGTAACCTCTTAACCCCCTAAACCCTAAACCCTAAACCCTAAACCCTGTAGCCTCTTAACCTCAAGAGCCTGAACACCAATCCTTGGACCATCCCCCAAGCTCTGAACCTTAATCCCTGCGTCGTCCGTACCCTAAACCCTAAGCCCTCTTCACCCTTGCACCGAAACTCCTGAACCTAACCCTAAACCCTAAACCCTAAACCCCTGAAGAAGCCCTGAGGTAGAGATCTCCGCATCACAGAGTGGAACATGACGCTTGCCTCTTTAGGGTTTAGGGTTTAGGGTTCAGGGTTTAGGGTTTAGGGTTCCTGCCAAGAGCTTTCGCGATTGAGGGCTTAAGATTTCAGGCTTTGGGGCTTAGGGCGTCTATGATGGGATCCTTTTCTGTGAAATCGCACGTGAACGGCTGCAAGACCTCAACACAGGCAAGATAGGAAAAACTCTAAACTAAACCCTGAACCCGGCATGCTGCTTTGCTGCCAGGGGCCTTTGGAGAAGTGTCCTCGAATAAGGCCCCCCAGGTTGGGGGACTGTGGACCGCTGATCTGAGCCATTCCGTCTTGGCTTAGGGTTTAGGGGTTTAGGGGTTTAGGGTTTAGGGTTTAGGGTTTAGAGTTTAGGGTTTAGGGTTTAGGGTTTAGGGTTTAGGGTTTAGGGTTTAGTTTGGTTGTTTAGGGTTTCGGGTGCAGGGCTTTGGGGTTTGGGGTTCTATAGACAGTGCTACAAACCCCTCGGGTGTCAATCCTCCAACGGCCCAAGGAAGATGCAGGAGATCTCCGGGCTGAGCCGTGAGGAAGCGATCTCGATGCCCTTCGATGCAAGTGTGTAGTTCTCTACATTGCGGTCCCTTGTAGTAGGGTGCTTTTTCTAAGGGCGCCGCCTTCTTGCGGGTTCCTCCGTAAACCCTAAGCCCTAATCTAGAGAACTACCCAAGTACACGTGAAGGTTAGCAAGTCGAATCAGAGTTGAACTGGCCGGTAGCTTCCAGCGTTTCGGGATTAGGGCTTAGGGCCGCCAGAGATGTTCGACACCTGCGCCAGCAACTGCATGCATCTGTCCGGAACAACCTCGATATCTTCGTAGATCTGCGCATCGGCGCATACCTCTTTGGTTTCGACTCGCTGCCAGAATTACCCTGGTCTTCTCATGCACATCTTCGAAAGATCTGCTACCCTAAACCCGAAACCCTAACCGGAGCGGAGCAGGCTGCGGCCTCAAAACCGTGCGCTAGAATGGCAAGCGCCAGATGGCGAATTATTCAAGCTTTACCAGGACCCTATAAAATGGACCTTTCTGGCAATGCCTATGAGAATTTCATTGGAATTTTTATACTAGGGTATCTGGGGTAGCCAAAAACATCTGCTCTGAGCCTTTGGCAGCTGTCCCGGGCCGGAAGCCCATTAGCCGAATGTAGAAGCTTGAGTAAACACAGATACTGTATCGTTCCTTGGGCCTAAGGGTCGTAAGCACCTAAGCACCTATATAGCAGAGTGCAGGGTTTCTACATAGGAATCAGTATCATGCTGTGGGAAATGTATCCCCCGTAACAGTACCTAGGACCCTTTGGGTTAGGGTTCCTTACTATACTTATGATATGATACACCCCACAGCAGTCAAGGTCGGTCATCCCAACCTTGCTGTTGGGGTGGGGGGGGGGTTCCCGAGTCAGAGCAACTAATATGGGGGGTCGGCATATTACCAGCATGGCTCCATCATCCTGCAGTTTTTGTCTAAGCCACCTATACGACTTTCCATCTTGGTAGACTTTATACTATAGAAAGTCTGGCGGAGACATTCTGGGCTTCGTGGAATCAGGCCTAACCCCTAAGCTAAACCCCTACACTCCAAAGCGACCCAAAGGTACTTGGCAGATGCCCTCAAAGTCGAGGGCAGCGAGTGGTGGCAGAACGGAGGACGATGTGTGGAGGGTAGCAGGAAGAGTGGGCTTATGGTTGAAGGGTTGCAGGGTCAGCAGGGTTTAGGGTTTAGGGTTTTAAAGATTCTAGGGGTTTGGGTTCAGGGGATTTGTGTAGGGTTTGAGGGTTGAGGGTTTTGGGTTATACTGGAAATACCAACCATGCTACCGCTTACTGCTCTTATTTCCCACACTCACAAAGCCAGGCTACAGCAACTGCAACTGAGCTGCTAAACCTGAATGCCGAAACCCCTGCAAAACAAAAAGTATCAACACCAAAGCTCATTATACAAGCAAGCTCATTCCTGTTTGCGTGCTTGTAACCACAATAACCGTTTCGCCGCGACTAAGTCTGCGAGGCACAGATGTTGTCGCAGTTTTGGGGGCACCGCACCCTACCGGAACTCCACAAAGTGGAATTGACGTGTTCGCGACATACATCTAGTTTTGCTACGACTATAATTATAGTACGGAACAAGAGGCCTGTTGCAACTTGCCAGTGAGGAGAACGCTTGCTTCTAGATGCTCTGGAAAGCAACTCGGGCGTGTCTTCGCTGCTATTAGTCCTTCGCTGAACACCGGCCAGTGACCGGATAAGACAATTCGTTGAGGGGTTTAGGGTTTAGGGTTTAGGGCGAGATTCGATGTCCTTTTCCACGGGTTGCGATCGTACTTGACATTGTTTCGAGAAGTGCACATCACGTGATTCAAGACTCAAGAGCGCGGGCCACATGCACTGATTAGAACCATGCTTGGGGTAGCTTACATGGCCATGTATGAGAATTATAAGGGCATGAACCTTAAACCCTAAACTCTAACCGTGCATGTCTTTTGAAATGCTTCCGATTTCAGACTTGGTAGTACTTCAACGTCTGATGTATGCAGATATGAGTACTTTCTGGCTGGGCACCGTCGGCCCTTGCAGAGTTTGAGCAATTATAGGGTTTAGGGGTTCAGGAGTTTCGGGTTGATAGTTTCATTGTTTATGGGTTTGGGGTTTTGGGATTAGGCGCTAGGTTTTCGGATTTTCGAGCTTGAGGAACCAGCCCTAAACCCTAAACCCCAAATTGATTCTGATGTGAGTCGCTCTTGTCAGTATTGCAGTGCCTGCTTGCTTGGAGGTTCCTGGGTAGCGATTAGTGAGGCCATATGCCCTCTAATCTGCGTGCTATCCTACCCTAGGAGCTCAATAGGTAAACTCTAAACTTTTTTGGTATATTAAACCCGTACTAAAAGAACAGTTTAAACTGTTTTGGGCAAGGGTACTGGGCAGCTTAGCTACTTGTAACTACCATATTAAACCCGTACTAAAAGAAAAGTTTAAACTGTTTTGAGCCAGGGTACTGGGCAGCTAAGCTACTGAAAGCTCTACTTGTAACTACCCATGAACGTCCAAGCAGGGCCGGAGATGTTCGAGGTATCTCGACTCAGCCTACCAAAACCTACGCCTTCTAGAACCTACGGTTTTGCAGGGGCTGCACAACGACTACAAATTGCATGGTGAGGGTGTATGAACCCTAAGCCCTAAACCCTCTAAGGACCTACAAGAAAAGTAGGTTGAGGTAGTTTACGGTAGCTGTAGCTACGGACCTCCAAACCCATAGTTCGAAGGGAACACAGCAGACCCTTGACCCTACACCTGGATCCCAACCCCCCAAAACCCGAAAATCTTAACGACCTAAAGTACGTAAGCCCGAAGCTGCAACTGCAATGCAGCATTTGGAGACCTCGTACGTTCTGTTCACGATCATGACCATCGACCTTCATCTTCGAAACGTTACCCCAAACCTCAACCCCCCTAAACCCTAAACCTAAACCCTAAACCCTAAACCCTAAACTAATTAGGGTGTAGAGTTTAGGGGTTAAGGGTTTAGGGTTAAACTCCTAAGCTCTCGCAGCTTCCGAAGGAATTGGAGATGATTTTCTCCAATCAGACTGAAAAGACAGAGGACCCCACTCGATCCCTAATCCCTGAATAGATCGGCGGGCAGAGGGGCTCTTGGGATACTGTGGCTTACTGAATCCCTGCCTACATATTTGTTCTGTGGCGGTTTGAGGGTCACAATCCCTGAATATCCCTGAATTCTGGAGCCTCTAAGCTTTAAACCCTTAGATGATCCCTACACCCCGAGTCCTAGACCCTTCTTCCTCCAGGCTCCAACCTGACATGCCATTTTGGTTAAATCATAGGGGCCTTAATATTGTGGTTTAAGGTATATTCCTTAACTAAGGGTCATGGCGTGTTTGTTTGCTTATCTGTGTTTTCGATACGTTGCTACACATGTACACCTAGGTATGCTCATTTCATTACTTATGTATGTATGTATGTATGTATGTATGTATGTATGTATGTATGTATGTATAAGTGTCTCGGCCCGAAGCTGAGTAAAAGCAAGTCCAACGTCGAATGGTGGCGGTGCTGCTATGGTTCGGTCTCTGG